CGTTGTAAGACTAACTCTTGAAAATTCACAGCATGCATAGAATGAGCACAGTGAACAGAATGTTTTAAAATTTCCTTTTCCTGCCAGTTCCAGTAACAAGTTCAGGCTTCCTCTCATAAGGTTGCGTGAACACTTTAGCAGCAGGAAAATCGTATACACAGTTATTTTCTTATGACCTGCAGCTGCAGCACTCAATGGCATGCGTTCTAAGTTAAGTTGTAATCAAAACTAGAAGAACTCCTAGAAAGATACCATCCAATAAAAAAGTAAATTGATCCACGGCATGCCTCTCACTTGAGATCAGAAAATCTCCAGAGGCTTTATAACAGATTCATTCGTACCCACCGATAACAATTGCCAGCTGACGGAAAATTGTAAATAGCACAAAATACACGTACTAGAGACACAAAAGTCAGTTTGCCAGATTAAATCCTGTGGAGGGAAAATTGTAAATAGCAAACAAATATCTCTCAACACCCAAAGGGGAACAGGTTTTTTTTTTTTTTTTTTTTTTTTTACCATTAATGGGGTTGGGGAATTCAAACTTGGGATCTATTCCAACATCGGTGAGATACAACATTTCCCTCAAAATTATTAGGGGGAAGTGCGATGTGTATTGCTGTAGATAAGACAACTATACAACATCATAAAAGACTGCAAACACTACAAATGAAGCATCACATTCTCCATAACATAAATAATGAGCTTACATAATTGTATATTCATCAAACATTGATAAGCCTGTAACTACTGATAAATCACAGCACGCATCCAACGGACAGTTGAAATAACAAGTTTTTCTCATGACCTGCAGCACCGTTGTGCATGCATTTTAAGTTGTGTTTCAATCAAAGTTAGAAGCATTACCTGAAAACTATCATCCAAGTAAAGAATAAACAAGTGCCTTGGAGACAGAAACAGGTTACTCAACCGCAAATGATTCAAGAGGAGAAGCAATAAATAAGTAAACTGATCCCCAACATACCAATCTCTTGATCTCAGAAAATCTCCAGAAGTTTTCAAATAGATTCATTTGTCTCAAAAGATAACAATTGCCAAATGACTCCTGAGTATCCCATTAAAGCTGGACCTTTTGTCCCTTAAGGAACCCAATCATCAGTCGCAGTTTCTGAGTTTTCCTTTTTTTTTTCTTCATAAGACGAGAAATCCCATATTTACGGAATCACAATGACGTAATGATGCTTACCCAGGCCAGCTGCTTCTGGAGAACAATTATTAACAGAGCAGGAATAAAGGTCTGAAAACCATTGCAAGATACCATTAATATAGCCCGTGCACACACATAAAAATCAAGAAAGTGTGCGAAACTTATATTTCATATGCTCTCTGCCATTGACTCAAAGAAAAGGTAAAGAGTTATAGGATTGGAATATCATTATGGTAGTGCACTCACTCTGCGTTCATCTCTTCGCAAGGCCACTAAGTAGAAAAATAAACTGAAACAGCAATAGAAGAATAGACAAAAGAAACATATGGGTTAGAGAACTGACATCTTCTAATTTGAAAAGTAGACAAAAGACTCCCCTCTCCAAAATAGTTTAACCTGAAGCCCAACAGAAGCAAGATTTGTGTGTATTCTATCAAAAGCAATTTTCCAAGCAAGACAATGCAGCATCAAGGGGTTAAAAAGTTGCAACATCATACGTCCTGGATATCCACTTTTCCTTGGTATACACACAACAACTGAGGTACTTCACCCAGATATCTGTCAATAAATCTCTCCAAGAACTCCTTCTCCACAGGTCCAAACACAGAATGTAAGCTCAGTTTTTCAGTATTTATCAATCCTTTCGACAACAAAACTCTAACAACCGAACACCTCGGGATGGTTCTCTTCTTCAAACTATAATTCAAAACATATGGGGACTTGAGAATTATTTCTGACGACCATCCCATCTTGTTCACTAACAGATCCATTGTTTGCATTATTTTCTTCTCTGACAGAGAAATACACTCCGGGCGCCTCCTGAAAGCAGAGAGAACATCAGCCTCCGACCAACCCCACCTGCTATAAACTTCACAATTTCGCTTCAATATCTGCTTATAAAATGAACGACACATTATGCTTATTGCCAACACGGAAATCGACTTTTCCAGGTTAAAACCCATTTCCTTAACCTCTTTCACAACTTGGCGAAGCTTTTCAGTATCATGTATCAAAGCATGCGTACAATGAGCTAACAACAGAGAAATGCATGATTCAGGCATACCTAATTCTCTCAAAATCACGATATTTGGCACTACTTTCTTGGTGTGGGCTTGCAAGAAAATCGACGAGTTGTACTTGAAAACAGAAACGATATTTTTCTCAGGAAGCAGACTCCTCAGGAAATTATAAGTGGGCAGAAGCTGTTTCTCCAAGCTTCTTTGCAAAAGACTTGGATTCAGAACCAGCGTTTTTGCGAGGTCCTCCCTTGAAACTCCAAGAGAGCTGAAAAACTCAAGCTTTGGCAAAAGGGTTTGCTCAGGGCTGGCTAAAAGAAGTTGTGGGCGAGTTTTGCAAAACTTTGAGATCTGGGTTTGAGAGAATCCATGGTTTCTTAGAAGTCCCAAAACGGAGTCTGCTTTTTCTGGGGACTGCAACTTGATCCTTTTGGATGTTGAAATCGCATCTTCTGGCGACAACCCACATGAGGTTATGAGGTAATTGACGGTGAAACTGCGTTGGTCTTCTGAGATTTCTGAGGTGAACTGTCTACAGAGTATCCGATTTTGAAGAGAAAAATGTGAGGGTTTTAGATCTCCGGCAATCAATATTTCAGTTCTGGAAGCAAATTTAGAAGGAAATAGTAAATAACCCAATCTGAGGCTCCTCAAGTTGGAGAGCGGTACCATGGTTGAGGTCGACGACGGTCGATTCCTAAAATTGAAAACCCCCAAGCCAGGTTTTAGTGATTACAAGTTGATAACTATATCAAACGTGGGCTATTGTTGGAGTTGATGTGGTGATGCAGCAGTGCGCGAAATTTTTAGAATGAGAGGAAGCTGTTAATGCACAATCGATCCGGTCCGGTCCAATTTGATTTGGTAAGGTGTGAAATCGAAATCGAAACCAGTTTGGTTCAGTTTGATGTCAGTTTGTTGACTTTTTTAGTCAATCAAATTTTTTTTCCTATATTTTTTATCCGGTCCGATTCGATGTTCCGCTTTTTCGGTCCCCATGCCCATTCCAAATTTCCATCATTGTTTTATTTTTCACCCGCCTTAGGTCATCTCCAATCATAGGGATAAATTTTAGCCCTCCAAAATATTAATTTGTTAAATAATAGTGTTAAATTTTTCCATCTCCAGCCATGCAGGGCTATATTTTAGGATCCTTCATATTTTATTATATATATCCAACTATGACATCATCTTACTTTATTGTTGGCTTTTAAAAAGCAAAATGCATGAGCCCACAAAAATTTGGCCTAAACTAAAGGTGGGCTATATGTAGCCTGGTTGGAGGGCTAAAGGGCCAAATGTGGCCCTCCAAATTTGGCCAAAATTTTATTTAGCCCATGGCTGGAGATGGGTTTTGCATTATTTTAGGGCTATATTTGGAATATAGCCCATGGCTGGAGATGGCCTTATCTTTAAAATTTTAAAAACAAATTTACCACTTTGTAAAATAACTTCTATAAACTTAAGGAAAACAATTATGGAGAATCTTTTCATAAGGTACAACAAGGCAAAGAATAAAAAACTAAAAGATCCAGAAAATCGAAATATTAGACTAAAACATTTATCTGATCCGTCAAATACAACTTGATCTTCTCCATATATCAACTATTAATGATTAGCAAAGAATTTGCTTGAATCAATAATTAAATGGTATTTTATGAATAATGGTGGATGGAAAGATAAAATTGTATATATTTTTTTTCAAATTTTCATGATAGATGGGAAAATAAAGTGGATGGGGAAATAGGACAGGGGTGGAAATAACAGCACTCTTAATTAAACAAGGGTGCAAGGTGTTAAAAAGTGGAATGAGATCTATTTAGTGTAGTGGTTTGGAGTAAATGCTCCACCAGGCAAGGTCCTAGGTTCGAGTCTTAGCATTCGTGTAGTGTGTGCGAATTTAGTATATTATCACCCCTCTCAATAAGAGAGGTCCTAAAAAATACAAAAGGTTGAATGAGACCAATGCGCTGACGTATTTATTAATCAGGAAAACACACAATTATGATGCAGGGTTAGACCCCCTTGGCTCTCATTATCTCTACTTTAACTAGCACATAAGAAATTAAAATTAAAATTATCTGTATTTTAATTCATGTATTTACTAATACATGGGTATTGAAATCATTCCAACTCCTAACTTCCCATGCGTTTGCAAACACATAAGGAATAAAAAATTATATAAGTTTCACTTTAAAATCTGTAATCGAATACGCTCAAAATTAGAAATGGGATTAACTACGAGTAGTAGATCTGATTCCAATTCCTCGATTATACTATCTAAATATTTCTATTCATAGATTTTCCTAACCCTTAAAACCTTATACACTAAAATCAGGAAAGGAATGAACTCAGAGGAGTAGTTGATCTAATTCCAATGGCTTAATTACCCAATCTAAATTCCTCAATTCATAACTTCATTCATTTGTAAGAAATAAACATTAACTATGTCTTTAAACCAAGATTAGAAGAAACAGAAATGAAAAAACACTCATAAAAGAGGATTATGCTTTTATTTTTGTTATTTTTTTTGGACTAAGGAAAATGAAAACAGTTTCCAAATTGGGTTTCATTTGCCATTCCCATAAAAAGTCATCGCAAGCATAAAGTTACATTTTTCTATGACCAATTTGTCTTGTTAACAATTGAGATACCAATTCTATCCAAATAAACATTAATACGTTTTTTATTATATACAAACGATATTCTACTCTAAATTAATCTAAATTACAGGGAGGGAGATTCGAACTTAGGTACATAGTGAGCATCACATCCTCCTTGGCAAACTTCGCTAAGCCCATTCCTTGCATGCTTCCAATGTAAGGGTAGAATTGAAAAATTAAGTGTATTCTTGTTTTTAATTTCTGCATAAATCAAACATAGGAAAATAAACTAAAATGATATTTTCAAGTTAATTTAGCAGTATAAAAGATGGAAAAAGACTTCTAGTTTCCATTCCATCCCCTCATAAAAGACATTGGAATTGATTTCCCACAAATCCATTTTCTTTGAACCAGAGGGATCCACGTTCCCCCAATCCATAAAAGAACAAAAAAAGAAGATATTTTTGCCACCAGAAAACAATATTTGACAGTAAAATTGTTCTATTTGAGACCTGGATTACGTTTAGATGACCTATTCGATTCTGACTTAGATTATGTTTAAATGACCTACTAGAGTTTATTTAAATGAAGCAAACAGTAGAGAATTGAATTGCAAGTAAGAAGAAAAGGAAGTAAACAGAAAAAAGGGGAGAGAATCGACCTATTTGATAGGAACCCACTCCACTCATTTTATGCCTATTTATGGATTTCACCTTCTTCTCCACCTTATAATTTCAGCTTATTAACATTTTCCAGATTATGAAAGGCAATTCAACCCCTAGAGAAAATTCTCCAAATGCATTTCCATGATGAAGAGGCTCACAATGCATGTAACATTTCCTGATGAGAACATTAATTTGCAAATTAAATTGAGGTGCAGAGAATCCACAATCTGAATGACAAAATGTAGACTGATCAATAAATATTTATATGCAGAGATTATGCACCAGCATTTCAATAACAAATTAGGAGAAGTTTCTATGAGAAAACAGAACTGTTTGGAAACCATAGTATCAGAAAACTGAAAGATGAATTCTGTTACTTGCATTATTAACCTCTCACCTTTCCATATTTGCTGTCATATTTTCTCAGCTATTTATAGAGTAGCTTGTCTGCAGCAAAAGGTGTATGATTCACAGCATGCTGTAGTAAGTTAGTAACATTTGTTTATAGGGAAAAACAAATGTTACTAACTTACTACTCACATCACATCTCACCTTGACTGTTTAGCTGATTATTCCTTCTTGTGTGCCACCAAGAAAAAAAAAAATTGCTCCACAAAACAATGAAACACTTCTAAATAACCAAATAATAGTTAATAGATTGGGGAATGAATCAGACTAACAGATCAAACATGGATTGTACCCTCAATGCCCTACTGAGTCAAAGCAGCAATACCAGAAAACATACATTTCTAGTTCCCATTTTCAGGTGGTTAGCTTGATAATGCTTGTACAATAATATACCTCAATCCTCAGTGTCACATTTTCCCGAGAAGACAATGCAGATATAAAAACAATTAAAATGAGATGTTCACAGCATGAATGCCTACCAAATGCCATTCCATTTTAATTCTCAGATGACTCCAATAATGTGTAATGCTGTGGATAAAATAACTATACAGCTTCAATACAAAGCTGCAAAGAATCACAATCTCCATAACCTAAATACTGAATTTACATAGTTGTTTATTTATCAACCGTTGTAAGACTGTAACTATTGAAATTCATAGCATGCATAGAATGAGCACAGTGAACAGAATGTTTCAAATTTTCATTTTCCTGCCAGTTCCAGTAAAAAGTTTAGACTTCCTCTGTGTGTGTGTATTATATATATATATATTGGGACTATTCATTGGGTTCCTCAGGGGACAAAAGATCCAGCTTATTGGAACAATGACAAGTCAGCTGGCAATAGTTATCGGTGGGGACAAAAGATCCAGCTTCTGTCATTATCACCACTTGTCCAATTGCCAATAGTAATCACCAATGTGATCCTTAATTTCAAAACGATCAAATTCATCACGTATATTCATTCATATATAAGGAAAGGTGTTAAAACTGATGGTGCTGTTGTCCTGGGAACTCCAGTCGTGCCCGCCCCCCAACCCCATGTATACTGAGATAAGCATAAAAAATGCCTTGCTCCAGGGATTCCGATAAGCTAGTCATTACGTGTACATTTTGATTGCAGGCTTTGAAGTCACTGAATTGTACTTCTTGGTACTGTTAAATGAATATATATTTCTCAGATTTTTGCATTGATTTGTGACTTGAACAGACAAAATTTTCACTCACCTGCGGATAAGTTTAAATTGGACCCCAACAGAAGCAAGACGTGTGTATTGTCTCAAAAGCAATTTTCCAAGCAAGGCACTGCAGCATCAAGGTGTTAAAACTGTTATAACATCATACATCCTGGAATTCAACTTTCCCTTGATACACATTCAACAACTGAGGTATTTCCTTGAGATATGCAGTTACAAACTTCTCCAGGAAGTGCTTCTCCACAGGCAGCAACACAGAACCCAAATGCAAGTTTTCATCTATAACTCCTTTCAAAAACAAAACCTTAACAACCAAACACCTTGGGATCAGTCTCCTCTTTAAACTCAAACTTACGATCACAGGATATTGGGCAATCTTTCTTGACGGCCATCCCATGTTGTTCACTAAAAGATCCATTACGTCCATTACCTTCTTCTCCGAGTGAATCATACACGGCGGATACCGCCTGAAAGCAGAGAGAATATCGCCATCGGACCAACCCCAACTACTATAAAGTTCCCAATTTCGATTCCATACTGACTTGTGCCTACCACACAATACACGTAGAGCAGACACGGAAGTGGCTTTTTCCAGATTAAATCCCATTTCCTTGACCTTAGCCACAACTACACCAAACCTTTCATGCTTTAGCATCAGAACATTAGTATAATGAGCTAGCAACAGAGAAATGCATGATCGGGGCATACCTAGTTGTCTCAAAAGATCAATATTTGGCACCACATTTTTGGAGTGGCCATTGAAGAAAAACCACGAGCGGCCCTTCAAAAGAGAAAGAGCCTTTTTCTCAGGAATCCAACTCCTAAGGAAATTATAATCGGGTAAAATCTCTTTCTCCAAGCTTCTTGACAAAATCTTTGGACAGAAAGCCAGAGTTTTGGCAAGGTCCTCCTTTGAAACTCCGAGAGAGATGAAAAACTGAAGCTTTGGCAAAAGGGTTTGCTCAGGATCGGCTAAAAGAACTTCTGGGTGAAACCTGACAAACTTTGAGAGCTGGGCTTCAGAGAGTCCATAGTTTCTCACAAGGGCCAAGACGGAGTCTGATCTTTCTGGGGTTTGCAACTCGACCTTCTTGGATGCTGAAATTGCAGCTTTTGGAGACAACCCACATGAGTTTATGAGGTAAGTGACTGTGAAATTGTGTTGGTTTGCCGAGATTTCTGAGGTGAAGTGTCGGCAGAGTAACTGATTTTGAAGAGAAAAATTTGAGGGTTTTCGATCTCCAACAACAAACCTTTTAGTTTTTGAAGCAAATGTTGAAGACAGTATTGAATAACCCAATCTGAGGCTCTTCAACTTGAAGAGCAATGCCATGTTTAGAAGTCGATGATAACCAATTTCTATTGGAAAATCGAAAAACCCTAGTTGAAACCTGCGGCCTGAGCTAAGTTGATTTTGGAATGTTATCCTTGTTGCAATGACCTCCAGAGTAGAAGTAGAAGACGCTGGGAATGAACTGCAGCGCGGAGACAAAAAACAGAGCAGCTGATTTCTGGCTAATCTCGGCTTTCGTTTTGATACGGATACCCAACTTTCTCCTAAGTTAACCCTACTCCTTTTTTAAAAAAATGTAAATTTTAGTCACAAGGTTAAAATACGGTTTTTAACTTTTCACGTCCTTGGGTCCTACCGTGATAATCCGTCAATTTAGCCCTCAAAATTAGGGCTAAAGCGTCATTTCCAGTTCCTCAACCCCTTCTTGCTCTTCTACCTCTTCAACTCGTTGCCACCATAGCCATCACCACCATCACAAGGGCTTTTCTCAACCAAAAAGCTTTGACATCTTCGACACTCTCCCGAACAAGAGCTCTCATCTTCCAATCACCGACCCCATTCCCATTTCTACCACAAGTCTATTGACTCAGTAGTACACAGTTGAAGCTAATCCCAACAATTTTGTAGCTGCCTCACGATCGGTTTAACCACCTGCCTTTGTCCTCTGTGAAGTACCACCTGTCGATGCCCAGGATCATCTTGGTGTTGGCCGACAGCCATGATGACAATGAAGGAGAAGGTGAGATGTTGCCACCATTATGGCTAGGAGTTTAGCCCACTCGCCGATGCTCGAGTGTTTTGTGCTGGAAGGCGTGGGGAGAACAATGAAAGGCAGAGATCTCAGGTAGGTTCGCAATGCGATGTGGCGGCAAACATGTTTTCTTGATTGAGGACGAATCCTTAACGCCTTCTCTCCCCCTACCAAAAGTCAAATATACCCCTAACAACAACATCATATGCCATTCACATGGTCAAAGTAAATAAAAATCCAAAAACCTTCGATCTTAGAATATAACGAAGTTAATTTACACTAACACCCCCGAGAGATTTTCGGTATTTTCACAAAACTCCATGAGGTTTCAAATATTACATGAATATCCCCTAGTGTTTTAAATTATTTTCACAAAACCCCTAAGGATGTTGGTGTAAATAACTCATAGAACAAATTCTCAATTTTGGGCAAAAACACCTTGAAGGCCTCGTAGACATTAGGTTTACAATGAAGAGGATAGACCCAATCCAACAACATTTAGCATATTGCTCTCAATTACAAGGTTCCAATTGATGACATTTTGGAAAAGAAACTAGGACTGATTTGCACCACCAGATCAATCTAAGACCACAGATTGCTTAAATTGGAAAAATAAAAATAAAAATAATTATAATAACAGCAACCCTAAACCCTATATATGATAAAAAAAATAATAATAATAATAATAATAGCAACCAAAAATATTTTGATGTTCAACAATATATACAGTAGCAAATATTTACAGCAACAAATATGTTGATGTTGATCTATATATGACGATGGCAACAACAACAACCATTCAAGCAATATGGTAATGTACATCGATTACATGCCACGTGAAGATTATATATACATCGATATATATATGCTATTGTTCATCGAAATATATGGTGATGTAGCAACAACAAATATTCAAACACACGATGAAAGATCATACATACATAAATCCACTTGACAAGCACACACGTTCAAGGACTGGAAAGCGTAGAGCATGTTCAAAGTTTCTAGGGTTGACATAAGATTTGTCAGGGCGTTTTTTATATATACTTACCACTTTAATTTCTAACGAAATCGGGCAACTTATTAATTCCTTCAAAATAAATTACTTTTTGAATACACCTAAATTTTGTTTGATTTTTAAAAAGTCATAATTGAATACACCTAGATTTCGATGTATTTTTTTATTATCAATTGAAATCTGAATTGAATACACCCAAACTTTTACGAACTCTTTTAAAATCTGAATTGAATACACCCAAACTTTTAAACTCTTTTAAACTCTTTTAAAATCTTAATTGAATACACCCCCCTTAGATTGGCTATTCTAGGGAACTTGACATCTCCTTTCAACAAAAATACTCCAATCTCTTACATATATGCAAACAAAAACTTTGAGAATGGGCTGTGCGAAAAATTAACACCCATTTCACCGTCAATCATCCCTGTCCCAACCTCGACCAACTACCTTACTAGAGCTTTGCTTAGAGCTTTGCTTCTGAAGCCATCAGACATGAAATTGCCACTTCGGACCATGTTGCCAGTTGCAATAACATTGCGCGTCAGCTGCCCTCACGGTCAGCTGTGATTCCTTCACCATATATCTTTGCAGGTGTTGCAACCATCAGCAAATCTGAAAAGAAAACAAGAGAGGACGAAAGAACACTCATGTGACTTTTAATCTTTGGATTGAAGATGAGCTATACAGATTCAGTGTCATTGTTCTAAGATGCAGCCATTTAAGAGTTAACATGGAACTGTGAAAGGGTAAATGTGTATTTTTTTTTTTCATTATTTATCGAAAATATACTGAGCTCTTCTTTATTTGATCAACAAATTAATGATAATAGGAATTTATTTTTTATGTTTAGGTTCTAAATGCACCATAAAATCATGCTGATAAATTAATCTACGTAGAAAGTTACAAATATGTATAGAAAGAGGTTTTTACCGCAAAATATACAGCTGACCAAATCCTTGTTCAACTCCGGTGTCAACTTGAACTGCTGAAGGACAGATTTAAGTAAGCAACCACCAGAAATGAAGCAAAGGAGAAAGGACATGACAATACATAACACAGACAAAACAATCTATCTCAATTGGGTGTTCAAATAAAATAAATAACGAGGGATATGACAATATTAATCCACAAACAAAAAATCTCTCTCCATTTGAGTGTTCAAAAGCACAAAGTGTATGTTTCATATCCCATATATGACTAATGTAATGTGACAGACCTGTCAGTGACGACTCCATATGCAGAGTATTTGATGACACCACATATTGCAACTTAGCCACTTATAAGAGGCACTTCCAGCATCCAATAGAAAAAATGTTTACTCCTTGTGTAGATCAATTCAGTAATTTTCCATTGCACTGTTCTAGAAAAACCCATTGGCTTAGAAGACAATTCAAGGTCCATTTTCCGTCTGAAATGCTGATGAAACAATGCATGCAATGTATGAAACCGCTTGGTTTGATCCTACAAATCCAATTTGGAATAAGAAAATATATGGTAATAGGAAAGCAACAAAAAAGTGAACCATACTAAATCTTGCTGACAAACTATTCTGATAGCCCCTTACAGAAGAAGCAAGCACAGAAAGGCATTTACAGTGAAGCAGCTAAGGTGAAATTTATGATTACAGCATCAGCTTCAACTCTGAAATCATGCATGGTTGCCTACATGAGTTGCTTTGACCTCCAAACAAGGGAAAGTTTCTCAAGTCTGCAAGTACACATCCAACATTTCAAGTCTCATCAAATAGAACTTTGCAGCTGAAGGAATGATATGGGGCAAAGGAAAGAATTTATCTACACAAGATATTATATGCATATCTACACAAGCATATATATAAAAAGCTACTAGGTAAAGCAGCAGCTGGACCAGGGAGATGGGGCAAAGGAAGTCACCTCCATTGAACCATGCGACTAGTACAACTTCCTGCCTTGTTGAAGAAGAATGGGATGAATGGACTTTTGACAAAATGGTATGAAAGAAGATGGCATATGTAGTTTTCCATTCTGTGAAGCTAACTCCTTTTAACAGTAGAAAAACAATAAGAGAATAATCAATTTAATAATACAGTAATAAAGGCCTCAGCTGATATGCCAACTACTATTAATCTAAAGAGTCATATAAAAGTAACCAATATGCTTTGGATCACAATTTCCATTCATGACTCGGTTCCTTATACCACGTGAATAAATTTCCTAAGTCAATCTTTTCAGTCTAACAAAACCTTTTGGCATGTATGTACATGGCAGTCTGTACTACTGGTTTTCAGTCTGTAATACGATAACTGCTGGTATGAAATTGTTTTTGTTACTACTTATTTTTATATTTAGAAAATACTAACAAATAGAAGAACTATCTTACAAACATCCGAAGTGATGAGCACATAAACTATCACATTTATTATCCCTAAATATATTTGTTAGTAATTGATTTTCTTACAATTTTAGTTAATTAGGTTTGTTTTTCACTTTTGCACTTGCTTACATACCCATTACATAATTGATGATGATTTCATTATTTTATCTTAAGGTTGAGGAATTAACAAACATGACTTGGTGGCATTAAACAATTTGTAGTTGGGAATGACCAAATGAATGATGAAGATTTAGTGCCACAGGAA